CAGCAGTAGTTGTACAGCAATAAAGAGCCCAAAAGAGGACAGTCACCGAAAAAAGAGGACATGTGCTCTAAAAAGAGGACATCTAGTAACCCAAAATGAAGTTGCACCTTAAAAACTAACAAAATATGTGAGACCTGAGTTTGGGTGACCCCTGCCCCATTGGCCTTGGAGGCAAAAGAAGGGTAAAAAATGGGACCTGTACAGATCCTGTCTGCCTACATGAAACCAGATTGCGTGTAAATCTCTCCTCCTCCCTGCAACATTTGTCGATTATTAATCGACCTCTGCCATTATTGGCTTAAATTCTGTAAGCAGTCTCTATATGTCTGTGCAGCTTTTACAGGCAAATACATTTTATTTCTATCGTATTTATTTTGCGAGCTGCCCTTGAGGCAACCGCAACCTACACATTTTCTAAATAAGTAATATAATCCCACCCACCCCGGAAATAAGGTTTCATGATCAATGCTCCCTCTAAGCTGTGGAGTCTTGTGAGCAAAAATTCTACTTATGAGCGAGTGATTTGACTACTGCATAAATTAGTTTGCTCTGGAGCCATCCTTCCTGAGCTAAGAAAAAATGTGTGAGCTGGAGGCTAAGAAACTGAGCTAGCTCACACTAACTCAGCTTAGAGAAAACAATGTTCATGATTGATTCCAAGGTTCTTGGCTGATGAGAGAGGAGAGAGATTGTATGCAAGAGTTGCAAAACCAAATCTTGATGCACCAACCTGCGTTGGAGAAAATATAATAATTAGGTAGCAAGGGTTTTTCATTCCAAAGGCCCCCTTCCTTATTAAAGTGTTCACCGGTTTCCAGGAGGCCTGTAGCTTGCGCAAAGAGATTTAAAAAGAAGAAAAGAAACATTTATTCAAATATAATTAGGAATAACAAAAATGGGGGGAAATGACTCTTCTACATGCATATAAGGATAAACATTTGAATTAGGTCTCATTTCAAAACAAAGAATAATAAAGGAACACATTTGAAGTCAATTTCAGTTTTTGCTGCCAAAAAACAATAAAAGGTTTCCAAGTTGACAAAAAGTAGGCTTTAACTGCCTTAATTTTTCAGTAGGATAAATTTGCTTAATCGCAAAAGGTTGACACTTTGCCAGATTTAGTTAATCCAGTTTTTAATATTTACGTTTGCTGCAAATTTTTTGGCTGCCAAAATAAATTCTAAATCTATATTTAGGTACTCCTTTTTCACATAGAAGCAAGAACTAACAAAATTCCTTTAAGATTTCTTGGAAGTTGCAAATTTAACATATGGGTGAATCTAATTGCTTTTCCCATAATTACTGCAGAATCAGGCAGGACTACCTCGTGTATATGTCAGCAAACACCTGTCCACAGTACATGTATCAAGCTTCTGTCAAACTGTTTGCTCAAAAGTAAATGAAGCTGGGTGCTTACTTGCAAGGAAATGTGTGTACTGGATTGCAGCCTCTTGAAACCAGAATGGACCTTTGGAGCATATGCAAGGAATACAGTTTCCGAGCGCTTGCGGAGTCAGGAGCCCACCCTGTGCAATCTTAGGCTGCTGGGGGCGGGGGAACAGGTCCCGCCACAGTAGGTGCAGCAGTAAGCAGCATGGGAGGGTGTCACGGCTCAGGTGGGGTGTCACCTGACGCCTACTAGGGTTCCACAGTCATCTGCTCTGCTAAATCTTCCCCCACAAAAATGGCTACTGGGGTATAATCGTGCACAGCTGCCTTCCACGATCCACTCCAGCCTTCCTTATACATCCTTCTATCCCCTTGTACATCAGCATCTGGAGGAAGTGAAGGTGGCTCTTTTCTCAACTTTGCCATTTCCAGCTCATGTCCCATCCTCATTCTCTCCAGTTCTAGCTCCATCTTAGCTGCAGTCTCTTTCTCCTCTCTCTGCAGCTTTTCTCTTTCCATCTCCATCCTAGCTATAGTCTCCTCTTTCTCTTTCTGCAGCCTTGCCTTCTCTAACTCAATCTCAGCCTGCTTAAATTGCAGCTGGAGACGTAAGGTCTCTTCACTCAGGAATGAAGCTTTCTCTGATGTGTCCTCCACTGACATGAGACCTGCAGCCCCTATTCGGGTCTTGCGTCTGGCAACAGGTGTGTCCTCTGATTTTTCTTTCCCAGATCGGAGGAACATACACTATCTAACTACCTCACTATCCAGTTGACCGGACAGAACATAAAGAAAACCTTTTCACCACACCTTACCAGACCCTTACTTGGTCTTGCAAGCACCTTCAAACAATGGGGCTTCCTTAAGCCCAAAAGCAAAAAAAAGATTTTTTTTCTCTCTCTGCCAAGGCCAAATGGCACTTTGCCTCACCCGGGTCCAAAATTAGTTCATCCCACTGCTACAGCCACCATGTCACGGCTGAGGTGGGGTGCCACCTGATGCTGCCACCACTCTGGATTTAGGTTCCTTTGAGAAGGCCCAAAGCACCCTCCCAAGACCTTCAGACCTCCCTTTTGGCCGAGTAACAGGCGTGAGGAACAGGCAGAGTGAACTCTGAAAATAGTTTATTTTATACGAGGTCAAACAAACAAGGTGCAGAATTATAACAGTAAATGGGTAAAAAGAAATCAAATGCCCTAATGCATCTAAATATATACTGTCCCTAGCTCACTATCTGCAGTGGCCTTAGACTACTCACCCTTCCCTCAGGATGAGGGTTTCTTCCCTGCAGCAGCCTTCCTTCTGGCTCTGCTCTCTGGGAAGAAGACCAGCTTTTCCTGCTGCTCCAGATCTTTTATTCCAAGCCCTTCTCTTTTCCTATTGGTCAATTTTTGCTCCAAAACCTCTCAGGGGCTTCTGGGAGTTGTAGGCCCAGCCTCACCTACTGCTAGCCAAGCTCCCTGGGCCTAGTAGGCCTCTGGTGCCACAGCCCAGATCATGACAAGGGATAAAAACAGCCTCCCTGCTGCTGCCCCCCTTTCCTAGGTCACCTTTTCCCCCAGTGTATTTTTTAAATTACCCTCCTCCCCACCCCCTACACTTGGGCTTCCTCTCTCTGTGTGTGGCTCTGCCTCTTGCAGCACTCCTTTTGTGTTAGGCTCAGGGGTCATTTCCTGTGGGTGCGCACAGGAGCAGAGCTCCGGGAGTAAGGAGCCAAGGGGGCGGGCACATGCAACAAGCCCCGCCCCCTGCTCCCAGCAGCCCTCAGTCGGCCACGAGGAGCAAGAGGCAGCCAGGTAAGTTGCAGAGCCCCTTCAGGTGCAAGCTCTCCCTCCTCTGTGAGGGCAGATCTGCGCATTCCCCCACCCCATAGCTAGCAATCCAAAACAGTCCAGTGGCACCTTTAAGACCAAGTTTTATTCAGGCGCAAGCTCTCCCTCCTCTGCGAGGACAGATCTGCACGTTCCCCCCCCCCAAATAGCTGGCAATCCAAAACAGTCCAGTGGAGCCTGAGCGGTGGGTGTTGCCTTCTCACACACTTCCGGTGATGCCAGGGGTTGTGGCATATGCAAATGAGTTATGCTAATGAGCTCCTGCACCTCCTTTTCTACGAAATGACCCCTGGTTAGGCTCTATCTCCTCTGGCAGACTTTTTTGTATTTGCACCCAGCACCTTGTAAACTTCACAGAGTTCAGTGAGAGTGAAGTGTGCAATGCTTTCACTTGATTTTTTTTTTCTGATTGTAAAGTGAGAGGGTTGAAAAAATCTTCCTAACTCTCATTCTGTTATCCAGGAATCATGGCCCATTCTCTTCCCGTTCCTTGCCCTGTCCAGCTTGGCAAGTTTAGAACAAATTCACTGGAGGCAGAATTGCATGAATATGTAAAGGAAGGGAATTGCAGGAAAGTGAAAAGGCTTCTGCAGCAAGGTGAGGGCCGCAGTTCTTCTCTGAGCTATTTAGTAGGTGTATTTTAATGTAGTTGCACAAGTAGTGAACAGTGTGGTGCAGTTGAACTGAAAGATCCAGGTGGATGGCCATGTTGGTCTGAAGCAGTAGAACAAAGTTTGAGTCCAGTGGCTCCTTTAGGGCCAACAAAGTTTTATTCAAGGTATGAGCTCTCCTGCGCATACACACTTCCTCAAATACATCAGATACATCTGAGGAAAGCTCATGCCTTGAATAAAACTTTGTTGGTCTTAAAGGTGCCACTGGACTCAAACTTTGTTCTAAGACTGGAAAGAGCTGTTTTCAAGTCCAAACTCAGCCATGAAACTCACTGGGTCAGTTGCTCTTTTGGCCCAACTTCCCTGACAGGCTTGTTACACAGATGAAACTGGAGAAGGGGAGAATCATATGCACCACCCTGAGTTCTGTGCAGAGGAAAGTGGGATAGAAATGTAGCAGATAATGTTCACCCAATTAGAATGCAAAGTTTAATTAATATGTTTAAAGAAATGTGTTTTTTTGGTTTGACTCCTTTGATTTTGATATGAAATAGCAGAGTGGTGAACAGTATGAATTTTTACCCAGGAAGCGTCTGCTTCAAATCTTACTTTTGCTCAGTGTTTTTTGACAATGCGCTCTTTCTTGCCTTCCGTTTTCTGTTTGCAGTATAGACAAGCCTGTCCCTATGTGGAAAATCCCTCTGTCTCAAACTGCTACTCTCCGCAGACACTTGACAAATGTTATCTCAACAATTCTTACAGCGATCCTTATAAATCAGGCCAGTGTTATTGCAGTTAAGCAGTGTGGTGTAGTTGAAGTAAGATTGGAAAGAGGTGTCCCATCCTCCAGTTAATCTTTATAGCAACCCTGCCAGGGAGGCTGGGCTGAAAGAGCAACTGACCCTGTGAATTTCAGTGTTCAGCAAGGATTTGAAAACAGCTGCTTCCAGTCTTAGTTCAACTATACAGGGAGCCAGTTTGGTGTAGTGGTTAAGTGCGCAGACTCTAATCTGGGAGAACTGGGTTTGATTCCCCACTCCTTCACTTGCACCTGGCTGGATGACCTTGGGCAAGCCATAGTTCTGGCACAGCTGTTCTTGAAAAAGAGCAGTTTCTGTCAGAGTTCTCTCAGCCCCACCTACCTCACAGGGTGTCTGTTGTGGGAAGGGAAAGGAGTTTGTAAACCGCTCTGAAACTCCTTTGGGTAGTGAAGGACGGGGTATAAATCCAATCTCTTCTCTCTTCTATACCACACTGTTAAATTGCAATAATACTAGCCTGATTTATAAGGATTGCTGTAAGAATTGTTGAGATAATACTTGTCAAGTGTCTGGGGAGAGCAGCAATTTGAGACAGAGGGGTTTTCCACATGTGAACTTGATTGAGTATTTTCTCCTTTGCTTTCAGTACAACACAGCATACTTGGAAAAGATCGAAGAAAAGCTAGGGAAACCAGGGCAAATAACCTGTACGGAGACAACTTAAGGTGAAAGCCTCCTTGGGCTCACAGGGCTTAGTTTCACGATTCTTTGGATGCTGGGAATACTCAGAAATCAGTAGAAAAATAAGACACCGTTTCAAATGTAAAGGCGATAGACACAGAGTGTCTGGCCAAACCAACACAGATGAATAGATGGTATAGAAAAGTGTATTTTTTGTGGTGATGGTTGCTCTTGGTAGTCATAGCTTTTAAAAACTTTGCAAAATGTTTGTTAAATGTGCATAGATACTGTATTTAAAGTTTTCTAATATAATTCATTGAAGAAAAATCTGTTTGAGGAAGTGCTCAGTCCTGTTCTGTAAAGCCATGTGCTCTAGCTAGACCTTGTTAAGTCTAGAATTTGGAATTTTGAGAGAGAGAGTAGTGGATGCTACAGTGCTAATGACAAAATGGCTGCCTCAGAGTCAGGGCAAATCACAAAATGTTGCAAGGTTCTAAGCCAAGCACATTTCTGTAGTGATGGCAGTTGCTTATGAATGGGCAGTTGCTGCAGACACAAAGTCTGTGCATTGTAGGGTCTTTTAAAGTGCCTCCTGCACTCAAGAAGTGCAGGAAAATTGGGGTTGGCTCTTTGATTTGGGGAAGAAATGCTTTTTGGTTTCAATTTTCAAAGCAAGGAACATGTTGTGCATGGCCACAGGGCAAGCCCAGAGTCTTAAGAAAGACTGTATCCAGACCTGTGAGGGACAGTTCTTTAAGACTACACTTTTAGGAATCATTTCTGTAGTGTCCAACTAGAAAAGTGCATTTGGAATTGGTTGGTCTTGCCAGCTGTGAGAAAGTCTCAAAAGTGTTCTCATCTGAGGGTGAACCAAGCAGGTATTGTTGCTTTGATGTTTTTGATGTTTGCTCTGCCTTCCTTCTAAGAGAATGCAGAATAAGCGATCAGTCTTTTGGCAGCTATTTTCCAAGTACACTCTCATTTTCTCTTGTAAGTGAATCAAGCTGGGAATATTCTGTTTCCATTAATATTCTTGTAAAAATGTAATAAAGTCAGATGTGTAATAGGATTCTGCACCGTTTGCTCAAGATCAAGGCTTGCTTTATTCTGTAGGATATGCTGTTAGGTAATCCCGCAAAGGAGCGACACCCTGGCCTTGATGTGCAGTGCAGAGTGCAGACCCCTAACCCTGTACGCATTCATTGGGGCTTATTCCAAGGTGACGGTGCCTTTACAGGGCCACAAAAGCTCCTGTTTGCTAAAAAAAAACACCTTTGATTCAAACATAAGCTTTTCTGCACTGCATCACACCTCTCAGATGCACTGGGTAGATTGTCAGCAGTCAAATGGCCATGAAAAGCAAGACTTGGTTGTTGTTTTTGACATTTTTGCATAAAATCCAAACGTTAAAAAGACTACATAATACCAATAACTGTTGACCACAGTATGCCTAATTTTGCTGAGTTGGCTAAGGCTGCATCATGGAGTAAGTCTTACTGAACTCAGTGGACATAGGAGTTTATGTTTGGCACTGTAACAGGTGAGGACTCCTTGGTCTTTGCTGAAGCCTCAGGAAATGCAATCAGATGGTGAATTCTAATTAAGCAAGATAGGTAGCTGTGTTTGTCTGCAGCAGTAGAAAAGCTCTAACAAGCTTTGTGGCAGGGTATGAGCTTTCGTGAGTCACTGCTCACTTCTTCAGATAAGTGAGCAGTGATGCATGAAGGCTCCTACCCTGCCACCGGTTTTGTTGGTCTTTAAGGTGCTACTGGACTCTTGCTCTTTTCTAATTCAGCAGTTTTATGTTGCTGAGCCCAGGGGAGACTTTTATTGGAGAATAGGGACTTCTGCATCGCCAACAGCAACAAGATTGCAGCTGTAAAGTCTTAAATGCTTTTGACATACATTATTTTGGTGGAACAAAGTTCAGTGGCACCTTTAAAACCAACAAATGTTAATTAAGCATATAGCCTGAATTAAACTTTATCGGTCTTAAAGGTGCCACTGGACTCAAGCGACTTCTGACCAACTCATCTGAAATTATCTTGGTGGAAATCTTGACAACTGGCGGGCGGGCCAGCAGTTTCCTGCCATGTTCCACAGGTTGAGAGCGGCTTACTTAATGCTCCTGTCCCATCTATGATTATTCAGGGATGAGTTTGATTGTATTTAGTAGGACTCCCCAGTAATTAGGGTTGCCAGCTCTAGGTTTGGAAATTTGGGGTTGGAGCTTGGGGAGGGTGGGGTGAGAGAGCGTAGCAGGCCACGTTTCCATAGAGTCCCCTCTCCAAACGTACCCATTTTCTCCAGGGGGAGTCTGATCGATGTTTTCTGTAATTCTGGGAGATCTCCAGCTCCCGTCTGGAGACTGGCAGCCCTGCCTGTAATTGTGCTAAAGATTTCAGTTTTTCTCGAGTGAAGAAGCCATTTCAGGAGTGGCTTCCTGGCTGCCAGAAAAACGCCATGCAATATGACCCGCTGCAGATTTCCTTAGAAGCAAAGTTCGACCGTAAAGAACCAGGAATGGCTGTATTCAAACTGCGCAGCACTGAAATAGTTAACTTCTAATCCCTCTTCTGGAATGGTCATTGGAAAACACATGGCTTTTGAGGGGCCAATGAGCGAGCACGAAGGTAGCAAGTTCCGGGGGGCGAAGCAGAGAAAATGATTGGCTGCTGGGTCTCTGTATGTAAATTTGTGGGGGGGCGGGGAGACGCCTTTTTGGTGAACGCGATGTTTTAAAAACCTTTATTAAATGTTTTGGGCAGTTTTTAGAAAATAAATAAGTGTTGACTCGTGAAAATCAATCCTCCGAAGGAAAACCGGCGGCCGGGGAGGGGGCTGAGTGCGGTCGCTGTGACTTAGAAAGCTACCAGAGACAGCTTCCTGCAGGAGCCCGTGAGATTGTTTTTTAAGACTATACTTTCAGGGATCATTTCTATAGTTCCTAACTAGAGAAGTGCATTCGAAAGTGATCGGGATCGCCAACCACGAGGACGAGGCAAAGTGTTCTCTCCTGAGCGTGAAGCAGTCAGGTGGTGTTACTTTGTTGTAACTGCCTACCTGATCTTGATGATCGTTCTGCCTTCTTTTTAAGAAGGTTGGAGGGAGAGAACACATTCTGAGTGGTTGGCTCACTTTTTAATACTGGTTAAAAATAATTCTTTTAGTTTTCAATATATGAATGTTGATAAGTGATTTGTTGATAAGTGTTACTTTAATCACCTATTTATAATTATGGAGTTGTGGTGGCTCAAGTGGTTAAGATGCTGAACTGCAGGCTGTGGAAGGTCAGTAGTTCAGCAATTCGAGGCCCTCTCTAGTTCTAAGAAGCTCCTGCCAACCTAGCCAGTTCCAAAGCAAGAAATTGCAAGTAGATAAATAGGTACCGCTTTGGTGGGAAGGTAACAGCATACTGTGCGCCTTGGTGTTTAGTCATGCCGGCCGCATGACCATGGAAACGTCTTCGGACAGCACTGGCTCTTTGGCTTTGAAACAGAGATGACCACCGCAACCCTAGTGTCGGATATATGAATGTTGATTGCATTTTCTAAGATGAGTGTTACTTTATTCACCTATTTATAAATATTTATAAGGCACTGCTTTTTAATGTTAGTATTCTCATTTTACAAGTAGTCCTGTAAATCCTTTCACAGTGACTTCAAGCTGCTTCCCGCTTGTCTCGCTTTGATTTACAAGTTAAACAAAAACTGTCTTTAACATGCTGGCAATACTTGCATGATCCTTTAACCTTTTCTTTCCCTTAAACCTTTTATGCATCATTAGTTTCCAACCACAGAAGTATTTGTAAAATAAATTCCTTGCCAACCACAAGGAAAAGGCAAAGTGTGTTGTTTTGACTATAGAACATATAGTTTTGTTGCTTTAATCCAGGAATCCCTGACATTTTGAGCCTGCAAGGCACTGTTGGAATTCTGACACAGACTGGTGGGTGCAATCACAAAATGGCTGCTCCAAGAAGTGGAGCCAACCACTGAGTGTCAGGGAGCCAGGTTAGGCATAACTCTTAATAGCAACTTTTCAACATAACAAATTTAGAGTCCAGGAGCACCTTTAAGGCATACTTTTTCAAATATATTGGAATGGAAGATGAGTTTCTAAACTTATAGACAGGGATTTAACAGCAAATTAACATGTAACATAGGGTTGCCAAGTTGTTTCAGTCGCCGCTTTGCGCACGCCGCACACACATCACCAGGAAGTGACGTGACGACACCAGGCATGCTGGGGGTGGGGCCATGACCATCGGAGGGAAAACCATAGAGTTTTTCCTCCAATGGTCGTGGCCCCGCCCCCAGCATGCCCGGCGTCGTCATGTCACTTCCTGGTGATGTGCACGTTGGGGTGGGGTTCCCTCCGGGGCCCGATCTGCTGGCGGCGGGGAACTGGCCTCTGGGGTGGGGGTTTCCCTGCCCCCCGGGGGGACTTGGCAACCCTAATGTAACATGATGATGTTTAAATTATGCAGAGTGAAAAAATAACAAGGTAAGGTTATCGGATCAACAGTTGTAAAGTAATAAACATGTTACAATGGCAGATAAATGTCTAAAGGTGTTTTTTCTGATTGTGGGAAGGAACAGAATCCTAATTACCTCCACTGAGGCGTACAGGGTGCGTGAAGGGCACTTTGAGCTGGCTGTAATGTTGTCACACAACCAACACGGCTGACTACCTCAACTCTTCAGCATTTCAGTCAGTAGCTATATTTAAGTAGGATGCCTTGTGTAGCAGTAGCACAGCTCCAGCTGCTTAAGCAGATATTTAAAAAAAATCTGGATAGCCAGTCCAATTTCCAATTGACAGTCAGAAGCTCTGGTTCACAAAACCCCCACCTACTTCTAGAAATACTTGGTGGGCGCAAAGAAAGCTGTCAAGGGGGCACCATGGAAGAACAAGCGCAGTGGCTAGTTTCCTTTTAAAAAGTGGTTTACAAACTATACTGATATGTTTGCTATTCTCTTAATCTTGTAAGGGCCCTTTCTTGCTGTTTTAAACCTATACTTTGAGTGGGGGAATGTGAGTAGGTGTTCCTGTGAGTTTTTTTAAAAAATTCCTTGATACTTTGTGTTTTCAGTTACAAAACAGCTGTGTGTTCCTTTTTAATGTGCTAGAAAGCAATCACCACTTTTTGGTATTGTGCAGTTTTTTCAGATGCAGTTGCTCTGTATTCATGTTTGTAAGGGTTTGTATTGCCAAAATACAGTGAACAATTTGATAAGTCTTTTTGGTTTTGTAGGGTAGCCAGAGAAAGGCCTTTACAACTGAAAGCTTGTGTTTGCATTTTTTTAAAAGGTTGTGAAATGATTATCTGACATTTCCCCCCAAATACCTTGTTTGCGTTGGCTTTTATAGAGCAGGTGGGAAAGGACTGGGCAAAGTTCCTCCCACTGATTAGGAGCCTCTGTTGGGTTTTGTGCACAAATTTTTACTCTGTTTGTGCTAAGACAATGAGATCATTACAAAATTTAAAAAGTAAATCTTAACAGCAAATTTAAAACAAAAATCTATAGCATTTTCATCATGTTTGTGTTCTGCCCTTTTCCAAAAAGCGCAAGGCGGCATACATAAAATTTCCACATTACAAATTTAGTACATCCAGTCACAATGCCAGTCATTAAAGCAGTGAAACCAGGCCACCCTTAGACAAGGTGATAGTATCGATATACTCCCACACATGCTCCCTGGATATGCAGGAAAAAGGGCCACTTTGTAAATTAACCTGAAGAAAAATGTAAAAAAACCCCAAAACAACTTAATAATTACTGAGCATGTCTCAGGATGTCCTGAACGCTGGGAGCAACTGAGAGTCAGTTGAAAAGGAGAGGGCGATAAATAAAGTGTACTTTAAACCTTGTAGAATCTTGATGGGAGAGATGTTGGATTGAGAGGAAACTTCTATGATTTCTTATGGTCCAGCTGATAATCTGAGTAGTTTATCCACAACAGGCTCCCACAGTTCCAACAAACTGTTAAAACTGGACATTCAGCAAATACTTAAAACAGCAGTGTGGAACACAGTTCTCGGCATGTATGCTTAAAGGCACTGAATTTGATGGAGCTTCCTCCTAAGTGTGTGTAGGCTTGCAGTCTGAGCCAAGCATTTCAGAGGGTCAGTGCAGGGCTCCATTGATTTAAAGTGGTTTTGTCCTTTTTCAGGGATCTGTGCTGATGCTATAAACTCCTTGGGGCAGACCGCCCTGTTCACAGCTGCTTTACTTGGCCTTGGGAAATTGGTCGATATTCTTTTGGATTTTGGTGCAGACCCTAATCAGTAAGTGTACATTTCCCCTACTGTTACCCAATATTTCTAGTCTGCCTAATTTACAGGTGATTACCAGAGCCGGGGGGGAAATTACCAGAGAGAGAGAGAGGAAGGAAAGCAGAAGTCGTGGGTCATGTCCTGTAGAACACCCCCATCCCGTTCCATAAACCCCGAGAATAGCTTGGCATGGCACAGCTTCTGTGGATTTGGGTGGCAAGCCTTACAAGCAAGGCTACAAGCCATCTACCTTGCAGGCCAATAGTGGATAGCAAAGCTGTTCCTAGATGTCAAGTGGGCACAGCTACCGATGCCTGTGTTCTGAAGTAAAGTGGCTGTTGCACATACCCATTGGCAGGAGCTACTTGCTGTTGAGGGCCCATCAATTAGAGGGAGCCCTAGGGCAAGGGCCACTCCAAATGCCATTGCAACAACCACCTTGTCAAGAAGGCATCTGTTTAGAAACTGGTACTTTTTCTCTGTCATGCTGTTCCTCTGAGAAGCCTCAGGCCTGTTCAATCTATGCCTCTTTAGAGCTTGTTTGTGCAGGGCAGGGAGGCTGCATTTATCCCAGGCAGCCCCTAGAGGGCCCATCGCAGCAGCATTTTGCTGTATAATCCACAACCTTTCCTCCTCTTTCCACTAATTTTGTTATCTTCGGATTTTCTGTGAGAGAGGTGTTAACCATTGCTTAACACTCTATATCCCAAAAGTGGGATGGTTAGTTAAGGTAACTTCTGGCTAAATTAAAGACTTGGCTCAGTAGGATAGTCCCGCCTGTGAAGCAAGTGGGAAGAATAACTGACCTGGATTCTGAATAATCTGCCTGCTGACAAGGAAGAATCCCTCATGGTTCCAGTGTTCCATTCTCCTACAGTAGTCCAGACCATGGGGCACTGCAGAGCACTGACTAAAACCCCAAGAGAAAAAGAAATAGAGAGGAGAATGTCAGAAATGTCTAGTTCTCAGTAGACACATCGCAGAACCTTCTTGCTAAAGACTGCTTTAACCAGGTAGGGATCTTATAAAATAGGATCACAAGAGGGGATGCTGCTGTCAGGACTGCCACATGTGCAGGTAAGAGCCTGAGGGGACGTGAATTAAGAGAGAGCACTAACTCCGGTGTTGCCCCCTGCCTGTGTAATATGTTAGACCTTCCTTGGAGAAATTCTAAAAGAGGAGCAGGAAGCTGACAGATGAGGAACTCCATTTCCTCAGCACCAAGAGCAGAAGCACACCTGTGCGCCCTGATAGACTCTGTTACTTTATTCGTATCAAGCTGAGAGCAGGTTATTCAACACCTAACCTGAATACCACAAATCTCTAAGCACAACTCTTTAAGCCACAAGCTTAAGACTGTCTAACTTGGGGTGAAGGATGGGGCACCGACTGAGATGTTTGTTTCACTGGTGTTTGATAAGGTCTGTAAACTAAGGGTAATCACAGTTCTGAATATTCCTGTCAGATTTTGATGAAGACCCTTGACAGCAGCAGAAAGGGAGGGGGCAGAACAATGGAACTCTTCTGTGAGGCTACTGATAATGAGAGTTCTGCTGGCCCTGGTGAACAAGCCCATGATCTTGGCCTTGCTCAGCAAGGTGAACAATTGAGGGGGGGGGGGGTTCTTGCAGATACTGCTCTCCTGGGTTCAGAGCCATTCTGCTTAGCCAGTCTGTCTGGGTATTGCTTCTGCCTTTTGATGTATGTATTTGCATTCAAAGTAAGTAATACAAAGATGCCATAAATCTCTAGTGCTTTCTCATCAAAAGAAAACCAGACCAATAAGCATTGACCCTGGAACTTGTTACTCTTTCAGTAGTCAGATACGAGTAGCTTTTGAGCAAGGGAAACCTTTACCTTTAGCTCTAGCAATATAATCAATAATTATCCCTATTGAAGTACCGAAGAAGGATATTCAGTAAGTAACTAAACTATGTATCTTCCCCGCTTGTGTGTGTTTCTGTTTCTGTAGTCGCTGTTATGATGGGAGTACTCCAGTGCATGCTGCAGCTTTCTCAGGCAACCAGTCAGTTCTTACTAAGTTGCTGGAGGCAGGTGGAGACTTGCGAGTCCATGATGAAAATGGAAAGAACCCAGAGAACTGGGCAGCGTCTGCTGCAAAGGAAAGTAGCATCCAGGTATGTGATCTTGTAAACCTGTATGAGGATGAGTTTAAGGTGCATGATCAGAAAAAAGCAAACCCTAAGTCTTAAATTCGCAGACTGATGAAGGGTACACGTGGCCTGCTAATCCTGCATGTGCTTGCTTATAAATAATTTCCATTGAACTTGTGTGTATAGCTTTAGGCTGCACAACACCATTTCTTCTGACAACCCCACCCCCTTTACCTGAAGGCTTTTCATTTTATTGGTTTAGCTCATATTATTCTGAGCATATCTTAGGGGGTAGAAACATGCTTAAAGGAAAACAAAACGGTGATAATATCAGGATGCTGATCTCTGGTCATAACCAGTTTCTTTGTTTTGTGTAATGTAGAGATGGAAACGCAGAATTTGTTTGGGCTGGAACATTGTATGTGGCCTTGGTAGGGGCCTCCAAGATGGTAAAC